ATCAAAATAACCATATATATATATATATATATATATATATATATATATAAACAAAATTACTGAAACTTACTCATAATGCAAAAATACACTGAACAAAATTATAAACGCAACACTTTTATAAGTGACCACGTGTAACCACACCAGCCCAGGACCTCCACATCCAGCATCTTCACCTCCGTGATCGTCTAAGACCAGCCACCCGGACAGCTGCTGCAACAATCGGTTTGCATAACCAAATTGCGTTTATAATTTTGTTCAGTGTAAATAAATAAATAAAAATAAAATAACGTGATATTACGTTTAGGTTTTATTTACTTTTTCTATTCTGTATGTAAGTACCTGGAAACCATACCAAATTACTTGTGTTTTTGTGCACAGTTGGCGAATAAATCAAATATTGATTCTGATTCTAATTCTAAAGTTAAGAAAGACATCTACAAAATTCTCAAAACATTTGTCCCCTACAATAAAATGTAACACCATATACACACTTTACATCAAAACAGATTAACACAATTCAGACAGTAAGACAATCAACAAATTATGTAAAAAATTATGTGTTGGTATGTAAGGAAACTTAAGGCTCATACCAGCAGAAACACAAATGCCTTCACTCGTAAACATGCCATTCACCCACTGACACACACACACACTTAAAATCACACACACACCTGCATCAACATCCCACATTCAGAGCGAGAGACCTTCATCTGTGAAAACAGTCTCTAGCCAGTTCTGCATTCTGCGAGCAAAAAACATGGGGTTTCACAATCCACACACACACAAGGTCATGCTCACAATCCTGTTTTACAGTGCCCCCAAAAAAGTATCTGGACACTTGAGTCACACTTAGAAATGTTACTGCATTACATTATTAAGTATTTAGTTTAGTATCATTTATTTTATTGTTAATGTGAAAACAACAGATGATAAATGGTGAGATATTTCCTAATGAGTAAGAATTGCATTAAGCATTCAAAACATTTTAGATCCAGTGTATGCACATCATAAATTATCATACATTTAAAGCTTATACTGGCTAATTAATGCAAAAACACTGACATGTATTAACTATCAGCATATGAAGATATTCTTTGTTGTCGTTCACATGCTGATCATGACTGAACTGACCCTCAGGGGATGTCGGTGTTTACTAGCGGGCAGATCTGATGTGGCCTCTCACTGAGTCTTTAATGCGTTTCAGGAAAGGAGATAGCCTACTTATATATGGGTCATTCCTACTATCTGGTACATGTTCATGTCCCCATCAAATATAAGTTGAATAAAGGAATGAAATCTTTTTTATTACAGTTTATATGTATGAATATATAAACATGGGGTAAATTTGACATGGCATGTTTCGAACATGACATTTTTGGAATGTCTCTGGGTGCTGCACTACAGTAATTTCTAACATTAAAAGCTCTATTTATTAAGATACATTTCAACCTATCAATAATATAATCTTGGTATGCACACGAGTAGTGACGAGTAGTGACAACATTCTTCTAAAAATCTTTCAGTCATACACATTTGGAATGACATGAGGGTGAGTAAAGCATGACAGAAATGTAATTTCTTTTGAATGTTCCTTTAACAAAATGTTATGACAACAAACTGACAATGTGATATTTAGTTTTTCTGCAATATGTATTGTGATCTGGTGAAAATTACTATATATTATTTTCATATGACTTTAATAGCATTTGGAAAGAATTAATCGTTCCAAAATGCTTGCAAAATACTGCACAGAAAATAAAAATAATTTTGAAAAGAAATCTGAAAAAATTAAAATCTGAGACATTTTTGAGTGCAAATCACACTTTGGTTTACTCAAGAACCAAACCTCTTTCAGGAACCATAAAGTGAACTTGGTTTAAAAAAAAATTTCTTTCCATTTGAGTTTTCATAGGTCACAAGTTTTGATTTTTATTGTGATTATTAAATAAAAATATTAAAACCAACAAAAATTGTACATTACAAATATAAAATTACAATACTAATGTTTGCATTTTAAATTCTTCATTTTCAAAAGTTAAAACATCAAGCTTAAATTTTGATGGTTTGCCTGCAAATAAATATGCGCTGTCAGTTTCAGAGTAAATTGGCACTGTGTTCACTTACACGTGTGTATATTACAATACAGTGTTTCAGCATCTCACAGCAGCTTGATTCTCAGTAAATGAACAAAGGCTCACAAAGATGTTAAAACTCTGTATTAGTGTTGTCACGGTACCAAAATTTCAGTATTCGGTACCAATACCAGTGAAAAAGCACTGGTAACACAAAAACATGCTATTAAAAAATTTGACTATACTTTCATTTAATCCGAACTGTGTACATATTTAATTTTAAAGGGCTTTTGAACACCTTCGAGAGTTATTCAGCCAAGAATAACTAAAAAAAAAAAAAAAACAACCCAGAACTGCTTTTCTGACTGATATGACACAAACAATGTTAACCATTTGTACATTCTCTAACACGCATATTTTAGATTCACAATTCATTTAAAAGCCTCTTGTGTGTAAAAATAGTAAATATCATCATGTCCTCCTGTTTTTTTTTACCCTAATAAAAGTTATAGGAGAAACTTCATTCTAATGTTCATTATATTAACGTTAGCCGCGCTTATGCTAACGATTAACTACTCTAATAACAGCATTCATTTCAATCCGACATTCAAATTAAAATATTGAATAATATTCATAACAGAAGCGGTGTTTCCTACAGACTTGCACTCTATTGGTGGTGGCATATATATGCAAATTCATTCTCTGCCAGCAGGTGGCGCTTGTAGAGCGGGAGAGATAGAGGTTTCCACAGTAACAGCTGTAATCAAATAAGCGCTCACAAATGCTGCTCAGGCATTACAGGCAAGATTAAATGAAAATTACATCCATCATTTTCTGAAGACAGTCGGTTTCCTTCAGAAATACAGTGATATAAAAACACCCGCACCGGGTGTCGACTTTGACACGTGCAGTGCTCATGTTTATTCAACGAAGTCAAAGCCTTTTGGAAAATCTATTTGTGGCAGTGAGTTTTGATATCGTGACGGGCCTCCACAAATAAATCAATGTATGGGAAACACAAGATCTAAATATTAAAAATTTAAATTAAACTTACCTGCTTGAACTCTTTCATTTGATCCGGGCGTCTGTCTTTAAAGTGTTTTGTTAGTTTGATGTGTTTCCTACTTTTGAGGTCGCCACGTCTCAGTGCTTTTATGAAGAGAGCGCATCTGCGCACCTTTCGGATACCGCATCAAGAACCGGGTTGACCGGGTACTCGGTACCACCGGTACTTAAAAAAACCTGGTACCGTAACGTTTTCATTTTTTTAGTACCGAAGTACCGGGTCTTTTGACAACACTACTCTGTATCTATTAAATTAAATAGCAGCCTTCACGATTTGATGACTGCATCCAGCCCTATCATAATATTTCATTTTGATATATCATGCAGCCCTAGTTTGAAACCACAAGTAAAACATACTCTTTGAGTCAAACAAATATACACAAGCACACATTCATGGAAGAACATCTTGTTTGGTGGTTCATATAGCTATATGCTGAGTTGTCACTGGGCTCCAGCAGAGGCCCGTGTCTCTTCTTCTCAGTCTCTTACGCAAACACAATGCCACATTCAGCAGACTGGCACACTGTGTATTTAGGGATTTTTTTCCTATAGCTTCACACACACTGGTGCACTGGCGCACATCCATACACGTACGTTTACACACAGCCACTCAGGCACATACAGATTTCCACTGTAATGCACCGGCACGCTTTCGGACATGTTTTTAAGGCCTGTGCCAGTTTCTTCATTCATATGCAAATGCGCTTCCATTGGAGCATCGTGAATAGCTATTTCTACTTCATATTCAGGTTTTTAAAGAAAAATGTAACGGTCAACATACAAAACAGAGTCATTTCTGGGAGGACACAGTGAAACGGGAAGTCATCATGAGTTTCATTTGGATTAGGTAGCATTAGGCGTAAGTGGGGTCTATTAAATATAACCCTATACCGTATAATCCGACTACAGTCAATTACACCAGGCGATCTGGCTAGACTACAAGCACACAGAAGCATTGAAACGAGAGAAAAAGCACAACAGAAACCATAAACAGATACACAAGGATATTCACGTACAGGAAAAACTCACAGACGTGCGAGATGAGAGTCACATTCAGTGAATCAAGTGCAAAAGCGGGGACCGGAGGGTCTGATAGCTTGGGCCCTCGATGGGGTAGAGACTGGGACCGTAACTGGATCCACGACCTGCGTGTCAGCACCAGGAACTGGGCTGCTTTGTGCCTCTAATGAGACTCTCTGGCACGCTCTCATACACGTATTCCAGCCAAAGAGAGAGAATGTATAAAAGAAAGAGGGAAAGCTACATCTACAGAGAAAGTGAATGTGGGCAAACAAGAGAGAAAATGAGATGAAGGGAGGAAGAAGACAATAAATGCAGCTCATCTGCCAATAATAGAAACCCCAAGTTCTTGTAAACATGCCCCCCTCACCTAAGTCTTTATTACATTTTCTACAGTACACAATATAATTGCAGAGAGAATGTGAAATCCACTTCTGTCCTTTAACCTCCCAATATTCAATTAAACTTTTGCAATCTTTCCCACAAAGGATTTCTGTAATTCCCAAATGCCAATCCTGACACCAGAGGTCCTTGCTGAAAAACGTAGTCTTAGCTGGTTTAAGCTGGTCTTCCTGTCTGACCAGCTGTCAAGCACTCAAAATCCCTTAAAACCACTAAAACAGACCAGCCTTGTGGCTTGTCCAGTCTGTATTTCACAGCATGGTTCTGACTTTGACACGCACACCTTCAAAAATCAAATGAGCAAATGAAATGATGGAGGGGAGATATGTTTGCATTTAGTCTCATAATCAGTGAATTTGGAGGTACCTCAATAAATAATTACAGAATCATCGAAAAGCAAGCTACATTGACTATTGGTTGGATGATTACTTCTGATAAGTGTCGCTGTTTGGTAGAGTGCTATTATTATTATTGCTCAAACTGAAGCAAGGACTGGTGGGACAACAGCTGTCCTCCACAAATTCACAGATGATGAGTCAAAGACACATTCCCACATCCGAAACTTAGGGCTCAAAGAAAATCCCAAGTTCCTAAGTTTTTCCCACTTATAATTACAACACTGTGGTGGTGTTCATTTGCAATTAACTTATAAAGACTGTACACAAACGCATCATTACATTTTGTTGTGGACCAGCAAGCAACAACCCAGAACACTCTAGCAACCACTAGCAATTCTCTAAAAACCAATGCCCTAGCAAGCTACCCAAGCACCCTAGAATCATGGCAGCAAGTTTTGCATAAGCAAACAGTAAATTTACAAATCGAATTCACATTTATCCTCATGATTAATCAAGGCGAGGCAAAATGGAAACATAAATTGAGCCACTTTGGCCAGCCACGGCACTTGATTGAGGTGTGAAGTGTCAGTGGAAACAGGGCACCAGCGTGTGCTCAAAGTGCCAGAACTCCCTGAACCTTCTGCCTGCAGCGTGACCTCTGCGCTGGAACAGAGCTTCTCAGGTGTCTTTGACACCTCTCCCCACACTGCTGTTTCACATTTCTCTCGTGTAGCACTCTATCCTCAGAGCAACTCTGCTGGAGCCACAGGGGTCAGTGCCCAACCACGCTGTCCCTGTTCTCAGGTGTATCCTACTGACAGTCTTCATCTGCCACCATAGCCAGCGCCATCTCTGCACTCTCGCACAATCTATAGCAGTAGGTTTTTTCAATGTGCGAAGAACTAAAAAACATGCATTTGACAGATGCTTTTATCAAAAGCAACTTAAATTGCATTTATGGTACACATGCTCATGGGTTCGATTCTCAAGGAATGCATGTGGGTTCAATTCCCAAGGAATGCATGAACATCAGTTCATGCATTCCCTGGGAATCAAACCCACATGCATTTAGCAGGCGCTTTTATCAAAAGCTAATTATATTGCGTTCACGATACACATTGTCATGGGTTTAATTAGCAAGGAATACATTCTTTGGGAATCGAACCCATGACCATGGCTTTACTAGCACTATGCTCTGCTGTTATAGCTACAGTAATCTAAAAATTCCTGTGATGTGATGGGTTCAAATTGTGCATATATGAGGAAATGGAGTAGTGTTGTCTAGTGGTTCAAGCTTAAGGCTGGTAACCAGATGGTTGCTGGTTCATTCACCGAAAGGAACGATCCATGAGCCAACAGAGCAAGACACCTAAGGTTGCACCAGCTGACACTGTGCCTGTTCTGTTTTACATTTACCCATTTGGCAGATGCTTGACCCAAGACCTTGGCATAGCCAGCACCATGCTCTTCCAGTTGAGCTACAATGATACAAGTTCAACTTACAGTAGAAAATAATTAATAATTTTTTTCGAATGGGATGATTCTAGGCTTAGGCTTTAAGGCTCCATTTTGGAACTCCAAAATTTCAACATGACATTTTATTATTCCAGTTATCCTCTTAGTTCTCCAAGTCTTCCATACCTTTGGCAGCCCAGGCCCGCAGTGGGCTGTTGTCGTCTATCACGTGGTAGAAAGTGAGGGGCAGGATGAGGAAGGGGCTGTCACTGGACGTGTCCACTTGGAAGGCTACATTTCTCTGATCCAGACGCACCGTCTCACCCTCTTTAGTCAGCGACGTCTGCAGAAGCTTACCTGTTACCTGAGGAACCACAGGAATTGGACATATGATGAGTTGCACATACGCTACATTGGAAATGAATATAAAATGTAACGTTATTTCATCAGATGTGTTTACCTGGCAGCCCAAAAGGAGGCTCTTACGCATGTTAGCAACACGGATCATGAGACAAGGTCGGCCCTCATGATTGGCGACCACAGCATGCTGACTGAACTTCACCGTCTCACCACGTTTCTTCGGCCGTGCTACCTACATACCCCAGATGAAAACATAGATGCCTTATTAGATCTGAGAGAACTGTCACAAAAGTCACAAAAATATATTTTTTAATCAGATATTGTTCCACTTCAATCCAGTTCCAGTACAGCTGCATGTTTAATCGAAATAAAACCAAAATATAATTTAATACGAATATCAACTTGCAAAAGCTACAATTTATTTGAATAAAAATATGCACTGAAGCACGGCACTGTGTTCATTTACACGTGGACAGCTCACGATGGATCATCTAGTGTTTTCAGTGTCTCAGAGTAGCACAGAACCAAGCAGTTCACAGCAAATGCTGCTCCACACAAACTCCGACTCTGTATTTGCTGTGAGTTTGGGTCACTTATAAATTTAGGAAGTCAACATTTGCCAGCCTTCTTCCCAAACTTGTAATGAGAAGCGCTTATAAACAGGCTCATGTCAGGTTTTCCGCCAAAATGACACGACGGTTTAACATTTCAAAATTAAAGATATTAAGACAACCAGAAATAATCATTATTGTAACTGTACACTTGCTACGTGCTGTAACAACTTTTTACCCAAGTTAATTTAGTTTTAGTTGTACCTTGGCAAGGAAGGTTCCAGTGATGAAGATCTCCATCACCATGGTGATGACAAGCTGGACAATAAGCAGGATGATAGCAAGTGGGCATTCCTCAGTGATGCAGCGAAAGCCATAACCGATCGTAGTTTGTGATTCCAGGGAGAAAAGGAACGCTCCAGTTAGGGTTTGGACCTGCATCACACACGGCGTGTGGTTGGACGGAGGGTCAAACTCTGGTGAGAAAAGGACAAGAAACAAAGACATGGAAATAACAGGGTTGCAATATTTATGAAAATAAATATCCAGGTCCTATTGAAGAACATCTCCTTCCCTGCTCACCTAGCAAATCTCCATGCACAAGTGCCACCAAGTACCACAGCACTCCAAAGACAAACCAGGTGCCAGCGAAGGTGGCGGAAAACAGGAAAAGCTTGTAGCGCCACTGCATGTCCAGAAAGGTCGTCCACAGGTCACGCAGGTAAAGCGTCCCTCGGCCGCTGATGTGTTCGATGCGTACATTGCTCCGCCCATCTTTAGATAGCACCCGTCGACGGCGTCTCAATGCCGCAGGTCCGTTTCCTGTTGAAGCCCCGCCTCCTCCCCCTAGGAGTGGCTTTAGAACGTCTGTCTGTGTCTGGGAGTGGCAGACCTTCTGTGGGGAGGGGCTACGGGAGGAAGGGGGCGTGGCTGAGGTCATAGCTAGGAGGGAAGAGAGAGATGGTTTCAAATAAGTAGTCTAATTTCTTCTACCTTCCTGCAGACTTGAGTTCCAGGGTTGCAGGGTTGGCTACCCCTGGTTTAAAACGTGTATGTACACAGGTCATGGGAAATAAAAATAAAAAAAGTTATTTATAACACATATAATGTCTTGACTCTTCAGTATAAAACTCTGCAAATTAGCTAATATTGATTGATAACAATCTATAATCTATAAGCACTATTTCTGAGGTCAAATCTGCAAACAGAGATTTTGAACTTAAATCATTTCTGCATTAAAACTCATCCACTGATGTAGTTGTTGGTGTTCAAAATGCAAGCAAATGCAGTTTCTAAAATGCACAGGTGACAAGGCTTTCTTCATCCAAAACTCTAATTAAAGACTGCTAAAGCTTTCAGCACACTAGACTGTTTGCTACATAGACAAGATACAGACTGCAATTGGGTTCATGTTCAATTATGACCAAACACTGAAACATGAAACTTGGACATCTTTTTGTTTAAGTGTTCAGGTTTTGCTGTGACAATTGCAGCAGCACTGAACTATGATGTTGTGATCTCTCATTTTGTGTTTTCACATTGCCATTTATATTTTGCTAATAATTCCACTTATTTCCCTCTTTTTATTTTTTCTGGCCAGCAGTGGATGTTATCAGATGGGACTCAGTTTAGGTTACAGAAACTACCAGTATCTTGTTGCTCTGACATAAAAAGAAGTTATTTTTAATGAAATAACCTATTCAGCAGTTAAGCTTCTGTGTGAGAAACCTGTCACCTTAGCATTTTAGAAGAAATAGCACATGGGAAGAGAGAGGGCTCTATCTCTATCTGAGCTCTATCTGAAAGACGTGCATCGTCAAGTAAAGAGAGCCACATTAGGGACACATTAGCGACTCTCAGCAGTATTTAAAACGACTTCTCTAAAAGCTGAAATGGGCAAAGTATAGCTTTCAGCGATCTTTATCGTGGACACGTGAGCGCATCCTTCTCTCTCGAGGTTTGTGTGTTCCAGGAAGGGGTACAGGGCCGGGTTTGGGGGCGACCCTGGTGGTCCGTTACTCTTTTTTGACTCTACATTCAGACCCTCCAGCTGCCCAAGCGCATTAAATGCCCCTCATTCACACAGTGGAAGCAGCTGCCCTTTCTCATTTAAAGGCTAGTCGTCAACGCTGACCAACTCACATGCTGTGCTTGGTTGGCCCGGGTGAGCGCTGAAAAGGGTGACTTATTCACAATCCAAAAACACAAAACCGCAGGAAGGAATCAGAGATGAAAAGAACACCACGTTTTCCATATTCTCTGCATTCCTCTGTTACATTGAGGATGACGCTTCTTAATCCTTCACCTTTATAAACTTTGTTTCGTAGATGCTTCTTGGACAGTTTTTTCAATCACTTCCCCTACAGCTTTAGATCAAACTTTTTGTGTATGCAAACCACACATTAGCTAGAAAAAGTACAGCGATCATGCTCAAAAAGCTGACTATTCTGGCATTGTTTATCCAAAATGGTCCTGGAATAAAACTTCATTACATAATCATACACTGTTCAAGAACCAATAATGGTTTTATAGTCTGATGTCGTAGACGAATTAATTGTCTGAATGTCATTACAGATAACCAAATAGCAATTATCATAAGAATAAGAATACATAAACACACTTTTTGAAGTAAAACATCTGGACATTGCTTTCTTCAGTGGAACACAAAAGATATTTTGAAGAACATTGGGAACCAAATAACTCTGGACACCATTGACTTCTATTGTATGGGCAAGCAAAAAAAAAAAAAAAAAGTTTTCAAAATATCTTCTTTCTTACCAAAAGATAGCACAAACACAAATTTCAAGCAAAACATTTGTCAAAAGAAAGTGCTTGTACAGTTTGAAATGACAAAAGAATAGATGTAGTGTTACTGCGATTCTCTACGTCTGTGTACTTCGTACATCCACTAAAAATCACCAAAACACCAGCTGATTCAAAGAAATTGAGACCAGAATTAAGAAAAGTGTTTCTCCTAAGAAAAAAATCGCCAGTAATCTGAAGATATCTCAACATTGACTCGCCAAAATACTAAGTCTTTAATAAAAAAAAATCTCAATATGAGCTCAAACATTTCTTCTTTATTGTGTTGCAAAATGTAACTATGTTATCGCCCAGCTTTCATGCTCCTGTACAGCGATATATACTATATGTGACCCTGGAGCACAAAAGCAGTCTTAAGTCGCTGGGGTATATTTGTAGCAATAGCCAAAAATACATTGTATGGGTCAGAATTATTGATTTTTCTTTTATGCCAAAAATCATTAGGACATTAAGTAAAGATCATGTTCCATGAAGATATTTTGTAAATGTCCTACCGTAAATATATCAAAACTTAATTTTTGATTAGTAATATGCATTGCTAAGAACTTCATTTGGACAACTTTAAAGACAATTTTCTCAATATTTTTATTTTTTTGCTCCCTCAGATTCCAGATTTTCAAATAGTTGTATCTCGGCCAAATATTGTCCTATCCTAACAAAAACCATACATCAAGCTTATTTATTCAGCTTTCAGATGATGCACAAATCTCAATTTCAAAAAAAATTGACCCTTATGACTGGTTTTGTGGTCCAGGGTCACATATAACAAATCTTCTTGATTGCTTGTATTGTTGCAAAATGTAAAATATATTTTCACTCAGCTCTAATCTGATAAATGTGACTATAAACATTAACATCATGATTTTCTGTAAAGCTGCTTTGAAACAATATGCATTGATTTAATTTGACTCATTCAATTCTTACAGGATCAATGATCTGAGGCGTTATCCACATTAATGTAATTGTTCTAGGATGTCAAACAATTGACTCATTTGTGAATTTTAGGACAAGCAGCAACTTGAACACATAACTAAGAACCAATATCTTAACTATGTTACACAAGGAATCACTTTCAAGGGTGACTCTATTCATTCACACTGTTCAATCTCACTCTCTTCTCTCCTTCTCTGCATTCTTGTTTAAATGTCTAAGTCGTAGTTTAGTCTCACTCAGCTTCTGCCTTCCGCACCAAATAAAATAAATGAAATGAAATGAATGAGTAGCAGGGAGATGTGATACGCTCTCCCCTCTCTGACCTCGCTCTCTCTCTCTGGACTCACACTGAGAGAATGAATAGGTATCTGTCTGGATCTCTGTGCTCTGAATACTAACGCCAGCCGAGAGGGAGGGGGCGGTTCCTCGCAGAGGCACGTGTTATAAGCATATTGTACACACAGCTGACCTTCGAACTCCGGCGAGTATGCGCCCACATGCGTGCACACTGATACAGTACATACAGCAGACAAATGCTGACACGCACTTGACTCAATGTATGTTTCTCATGCTCTCAAAGACCTTTGGTTTAAAGGCTTGAAATGCATGAAATTAGTTTTGGAGACAAAAATTACATTGTGCCTACACATGAATATTTGACTAAGAATACATGCAAACTAATCCAATAGGGAACGTTATCATCATTTCCATTTAGCAGCGTGTTATTTTATGACTTAATTATTATTCTGCAATGTGGACAAACAGTCATAACGAATAACGGGGTGCATGCAAACTTGTGACTCTTATTGTACTGATGCACATGAGTTCTCAGAGAGCGTGCAGAAACGAAGCCATGTTGCTTCACTGCAAAAGTTTACAAATTGTCTTCATCTTCTTTCTCACTCTTTCTCTCACTTTCTGTCCTCCCTCGATGTCTTTCTTTCTCACTCGCTGTCCTGTATACACAAGAATCCTTTTGTTTAGAGATGAGATGAAAGAGACAAAAGCCACCATTGAAAAATACAACACTGCATGTGTGTGAGAGAGCGAGAGTAAGAGAGACAGCGAGAGAGAGAGAACGGAAGGAATGACATGCAGAGATGGACAGAAAACAAGCCGATATTAAAACTCTCTCATCAATATTCTGTGGATGTGCAACGTTTACTTTCCTCTATTCACCAGATCCAATGCAATTCTCACAATCGCAGTTGAACGTACTTGACTTTTCTATTTTAAAGTGCTCAGGAAATCACTCTGCGAACAAATCGACCCGCTTAACCGATCAACATTAACCTCTAATTAATCTTTTGCTCAGTTATCTGATCTAGGCAGATCAGTTATTTCATTGGCTGGCTTTAGATCTCCAAAATAACCAGGTTGCAAGGGAAAAGTCCCAAAAGAAAATCCAAAAACTTTGCCAGGTCTGATGTTCGCCAGAAAGAGCAATGGGGAGCATATCAGATCAGTTGAAAGGAACAAAAAAGAAAAAGAAAAGAATGCCCACGCAATGCTGTGTTTCAGTCGGAGTCTATGAAATTATTTTGATAGCAGCAGATAATCCTCCTCTTTTATATCTCTGCATCAGTAAATATTATTTCTCTACAGCTCATGCATTAAACAGAAGCGGTGTTATTTAATAGAGTGAACTGTAACTGTAAATTGAATTTGAAAGCTTTAAACAAACTGAAAGTTCTCATTATAAATCGAAATACAACTGTAATAAATGTGCATGATATTTATTGCAGACAAATGCATTTTACAAGACCAAAACCAATGCTTGGCAAACAAAACACAACAAACCAAAAAAATGCTTTTGCTGGGTTCAATTTTACTGTCAAACTTTTTTGATTCAATCTTTTTAAATTTGCATTTTGCATTATAATGTTAACCATACTGAAACTCGAAAGAGAGTGACACGAACTCGAATAAAACTGAAGCAAGAACAGTTAAACGTGTGCATTATTAATTCATTTTAACTAATTAAATGACAAATTAAACATGCCACAGGACATTTGAGCAATCAAACAGCAGGCTACACATCAGAACAACCTATTTTCGCTATAATACTTATTTCTATGTGCTAATATTTAACAATGATATATGTTTTTGCATCCTAAATCATCTTGTTGAGATGCACCTGATGTCTTACATCATGCCTTATTTGAGGATGAGACATGCTGCTGGATTCAAATCTGCAGAGATGAATGACATTCTTATGGTTTAGTTTCTTCATTAATCTCCTTCATCTGAAATGAACGCGATCGCAGCATATCGACCTCTAGGCCTCACGAGTGACTTCAGCACAGATGTTAGGCTATGTGTTTACTTCAGCACTTACCTTTTTACCGAGGACTTGAACGCAGAGCTCTCTCTTTTTGTGATTCACAACAGTCACTGCTGCTTTCCAGTTTCTGGACACATCAGAGGATAGTCTGAGGCGAAAGTTGTGAAAGCGTTCAGAACGGAGAGTAGCGCGTTCCTGACAACTTTGCCGATACCACCCGCGCCAGAAGAGTGACACGGTCTCATAATGTTTATCATTCAAATAAACACATTTGAAACAGTTAATACGATTCTAAAACTCCAGCCTAAATAAATATGCAAATATACAAAATCTGTCAAGTTAAAAAAATATATAACCTATATCGGCTATAATCGGTTCTATCCTAGCAACAAGTTGTGTCCTAAGCAATAAGTGTCAGCCAGTGCCGGTCGAATGTTACCGATTTATTATGCAATGCCCTTTCTATCTCTCTCTCTCTCTCTCTCTCTATCCTCCTCACTCTCTTTCTATCTCTCTCGCTCTCTCTCTCTCTGTCCTCCTCTCTCTCTTTCTATCTCTTGTCTCGTCTTAAGTGGAACTCCTCAATAAGTTTTGTTCGCAGCACTATCTGAAAACTTTCTCCTCTCGTCTCAGTCCTGCCTTTCATTGTTGATGAAATACGTACTTTCAGCGCCTCAGCACTGTTTAATTCATTAATTCAGCGGCCCTCCGCTCCTCCTCCCGCCCCCCGTGTCTCCGGCTGTAAATAGAGCCCTTGTTGAGCTCCTCCGCTCCTCAGCCTTTGTAAACTTTTCTGCTTGATTTAAATATGTCGAAATTAAGAAACTTTATGTTGCCGTTGTTCGGAGGACGCATGCATTATTTATAAATACGACCTCGGATGTTGAATTAGTTCTGTGGCGATTTTCCCTCGTTCTTTTCTCTATCCGAGCGGAGTTTTTTGCGACTTTCAGAGTGTCATGACTTTGAAGTCGATCCATGTCCGCTTGAATAACTGCGCAGAAAACAGGTGCAACCCTTTGAAAAGAGGTGCTGAAGGGGACAAAGAAAAATAATTACCGTAACTATGATTACTATTCGTGTGATGTAACACTGTTATTAATTACTACTAATACTACAACTAAAAATAATTTTAAAAAAATTAAGCAAACAAAA